GATTTGTTGTTCTAGCCTTGCAGCTAATGCAAACTTCTGCTGGATTTAAGCTGGGAGAAGTTAAAGGCTCTACCTTTAGAATATAAAATAAGAGACCAAAACAAACATTTACTAATTAAGATGATCAATGGGTCTGCACCCTTTATGCCAGACATGGGCAAATGCTGGCCCTCCAGTCATTTTGGATTCCAACTCCCACAATTTTTATGGTTGGGCTTCCAGGTGTTTCTTTTCTTAAGGTTGGAATGGTTTTTGGAAAAATGTTATCAGGGACATTTATTGAGTATATCTAATGCAGCCCTCCAGTCGTTTTGGATTCCAACTCCCACAATTCCTAAAGTCCAAAACATCCAGATGGTCAGTTTGCCTATGCCTGCTTAATTCTATGATATGAAGAAATTACTGTCAGTAGTGGCAAGGGATGAAATCTTCTCATAAATCAGGAAGGTAGTTTTTCATTCAACAAATGAGCCCTTTATGTGGTTTAGACATTATTACAAGAGACACACCCATCAAGAGTAAGTGGTGACAGCAGGTAAACATTAAGGTGAGGTGGCAATGTCACCCTTGGAAACTCATCTTCTGGTTTAAAGGGGCAAAATTTAGGAGATATTCTGCAGCCATCAAAGACCACAAAGGGCCCTTCCACAAAGCCCTATATCCCAGAATATCAAGGCAGAAATTCCCACAATATCTGCTTTGAACTGGGTTATCTGAGTCCACCGCCTTGAGTCGCCTGCAGGCTGAGAAAGGCGGCATACAAATACAGTAAATAAATAAATAATGTGAGATTTTATGCCTTGGTATTCTGGGATATAGGACAGTGTGGAAGGGTCCGGAGGCCCTTTCCACACAGCTGAATAAAATCCCACATTATCTGATTTGGACTGGGATACATGGCAGTGTGGACTCAGATACCGTAGGATTTTCTGTCTTGATATTCTAGGTTATATGGCTGTGGAGCCCAAAGTCAGTAATTTAACAAATGCAGGAGATCTTCAGTGCTGCTTAAGTACAATTCCTGGGTGTGTGTTTGTATTTTTAATTGTTAACACTATTTGGCAGGTTCTTTATTCCCTGTGTACTGCTGTCATCCATTATATTTGTCAAAAATACCATCCCAGTAATTTCTTTTGAATGCTCTCAGTAAAAGGGCATATAGGGAATTTTTCAGTGACTACCTATTTGGCTTTAGGTTAGCAAAAGAAATCTAATTTTCTAGCGAATCCATTTTTCTTTTCTTTTTTTCACTGCCTGTAATATTAGTCATTGTGCTTCAGCATACAAACTTGTTTTAATTCCACTCCTATGGCTTCCGGCTCTTCCCAGTGTCACTCTCCACATCAGTGGGACAGAAATCATGTGGCTACCAAATGCTGTTGAGACAACAATTCCCAAGATGCTTTATTATTGACTATGCTGCCTAGGGCTGCTGGTAGTTTCAGTCCAACACCTCGAGGGTCATGTGATTCCTACCCATGTACTACTACACCAACTATACTTCTTTCCTGGTGAAGAAATGCTAGTATACAGAACCCTAGCCATTTTCTTTGTTAGGGTTTGTACTTGGCAGATGAGGCTGTGAATGATGGATGCAGGACAAACTGTAATAAAGACACAGCTGGGAGTTATGCCTTGCTCCCTCGTAAAGTTTTTCCAACACGTTTCTTGAAAGGCAAGTTTACTTCAGGAGTTCCATCGAGACAAAGGTTGCCTGCCAGAACAAGAACACAGAAAATGAGATCATTAAGGCCATTATAAATCTCGCTTTGTTTTGACTTGCAAGTCACCATGGGTCCTGTACAGGAATAAAGTTGGTATATATTTTAAATTAAATAAAAAGGCTATGAGGGCATATATGAACAGGTAGTAACAGTAACAATCATGCTAAACCGTTCTACATTTATATTTGATCATTCTGAAAGGGTATTTATCATGTTGCGTTGCAACAGCTTAGCCTTCATACATTACACACTTTCCCTTGGCTCTACATAGGAATCATCACACTTAGGAATCATGAACCCGAAACCATTATTTGTTGTTCAGCCATGATATTCTTTTTATGATGTTGTCTGATTATGATGTTTTATTGGTTTCTATTGTGCTTGTTTTAACCTGTATTTTCTGTGCTTGTTTTTAACCTATATTTGTAATAGTTTTCTAAGATCGACAGAGACACTCGCTGGAACACCCCAGCAAGCGAGAGTCCAAAAGTGGCAGGCTCAAACCCAGAACCTCAACCAATGGCTGATACCAAATGAGAGACTCCCCCCTGGGCACACAGAAAACTGGACAACTTGGAAGGCGCTGAACAGACTGCGTTCTGGCACCACGAGATGCAGAGCCAACCTTAAGAAATGGGGCTACAAAATGGAATCCACGGCATGTGAGTGTGAAGAGCAAACCACTGACCACCTGCTGCAATGCAATGTGAGCCCTGCTACATGCACAATGGAGGACCTCCTCGTGGCAACACCAGAGGCACTCCAAGTGGCCAGATACTGGTCAAAGGACATTTAATCAACTACCAAGCTTGCAAACTTTGTGTTTTGTCTGTTTGTTTGTTTTGTTAAAAATGTAATACAAATGTCTGGTTGCTCCTGACACGATAAATAAATAAATAACCTATATTTGTTGGGCATAACCCACTGTAAGCCGCCTGAGTCCCTTTGGGGAGATGGAGGCAGGGTATAAAAATAAAGTTATTATTATTATTATTATTATTATATTATTTCAGATTGAGACTTAATAAGCGCTTCCTAATGCAGCAATACTAACAATATATGAAAACTTAATTGTTCAGTCGCTTCCGACTCTTCGTGAACCTCATGGACCAGCCCACGCCAAATCTCCCAGCTCCTTCAGAGTCAAGCCAGTCACTTCAGGGATGCTATCCATCCATCTTGCCCTTGGTCGGCCCCTCTTCCTTTTTCCTTCCATTTTCCCCAGCATCATTGTCTTCTCTAAGCTTTCCTGTCTTCTCATTATGTGATATGAAAACTTGCTCCTGGGGAAACACTCCCATGAAACACATCAGATGATTACTGACTGACTCCTCAGAAGGTAAGCTTATCTCTATTTCCTCCCTGGTAAAATAATCACAGGTGTCTTTGTGGACATACCAATCTTTAGACAGGAATCTACTTTTCAGAATGTATATGAGACTGCCCTGAAGTGTTTTGGCATCTGAGCCTGAAAAAACAAACCCTATCCTTGAATGCAGCAACAAAACCAGTACATAAGCAGTTAACACTTGCCATCCTTAAGAGAGACAATGGACATTGGTGCTATAAAACAAAAGACAAGGGATCTCAGAGATGTTCACAGTTAATACACACCTGAATCCTGAAGGTCTTCTGACGAGGTTAACTGTGGCAAAAACTGGAAGAAGATGTGATACTTTTATCTTTCCCCTATCTTTTATTTCACAGAAACAGAGTCAGAAGAATAATCAGAATCATCTGGTCCAGCTCTCTGGGTCCAGCTGTTTCTCCTGATAAATAGTAACTTGGGGACGGATGTCTTTTGCAATGTGGCAGATAAGGAAAGGATGACCTTCTCCTTCCTTTCACAGTTACTGCACTTGGTTGTAGCATGAAAGGAGGTTGAGACACAACCTAGTAACACCACTGAGAGCAACTAATTTATAGTTTAACATGAACTTTTGTGGATTTCATGATTAACAAGTTTGCAGACGACACCAAATTGGGAGGGATAGCCAATACTCCGAAGATAAGAGCAGAATTCAAAACAATATTAACAGATTAGAGATGGGCCAAAGCTAACAAATTAAAACTCAACAAGAACAAACGCAAGGTACTCCACTTAGGCAGGGGAAAAATGAAATACAAAGCTACAGATTGGGGGACACCTGGCTCAACAGCAGTATGTGTGATAAAGATCTTGGGGTCCTCGTGGACAACAAGTTAAACATGAGCCAACAATGGCTTTAAAAGCCAATGGGATTTTAGCCTGCATCAATAGGAATATAGTGTCTAGATCCAGGGAAATCATGCTACCCCTCTCTTGGTCTCTCTTCTCTCTTCTCTCTTGGTCAGACCACATCTGGAATACTGTGTCAAATCCTGGGCACCATAATGCAAGGGTGATGTTGACAAGCTGGAATGTGATCAAAAGAAGGCGACTCAAATGATCAAGGGTCTGAAGAACAAACCCTATGAGAAGCAGCTTAAAGAGCTGGGCATGTTTAGCCTGCAGAAGAGAAGGCTGAGAGGAGACATCATGGCCATGTATAAATATGTGAGGGGAAGTCATAGGGAAGAGGGAGAAAGTTTGTTTTCTGCTGCCCCAGAGTCCAGGACACAGAACAATGGATTCAAACTACAGGAAAGGAGATTCTACCTGAATATTAAGAAGAACTTCCTGACTGTGAGAGCTGTTCAGCAGTGGAACTCTCTGCCCTGGAGTGTGGTGGAGGCTCCTTCTTTGGAGGCTTTTAAACAGAAGTTGGATGGCCATCTATCAGGGGTGCTTTGAATGCGATTTTTCTGATTCTTGTCAGGGAGTTGGATGGCTATGAGGTCTCTTTCAACTCTATGATTCTATGAATCCATCTTATCAGATGCACTTCCTTAATACATCCTCACACATTATATTGACTTCCATGGTTTCACTAGAATTTTTTCTACTAGGCAAAAAGGACATGGGAGTTAAAGTATTTGTAGTAAATACAGAAGAGTTGTTTAACACTTCATAAAGATAATGCTGTAAATAGAGGACAAACTAGAAGCTAATTTCCAAGATGCTCTTAAATGTCTACTAATCAGAAAGTCCAGCTGCTCAAATGTTTGCACTGAGTTGGGTATTAAATTGTAGTTGCTAATTATTGATGTTGCACCTACTCACTATAACCTTTAAAAAGCATGGCATTCAAGCACACACACACCAAATTTTAAAACTCCCAATACAGGAAAAAATATAATTTTACCCTGTTGACTACTCCATGCTACACATAAAAAGCAGAAACCTTAGTCTTTAAATGAATGATAAAAAAGAAAGCTTCAAAATGCTTTATTAAGAATATTTGATTTTTGAATTTGTACAGCTCAAAGCAATGTTATACATACAAATAAATAGATACATATATTCTGAAAATAAAGTTCTAACATATTGTCAAATACTGAAAATAAAGGAAAGCGGAAGAAACAACACAACCAATTTCTAATGCTTTCAGTGATTGTACTTGAAAGAAGCGGAAGTKYAGGGARTCCTTTCAACAGTTTGCTGATCATAGTAAAAAATAGTTACATCCAAACTGACTGAAGAAAATACAGTTCTWTCATGGTTTGCTGGTAAAGATATCAGAACATGACTGACTGGGTCAACCCTGCTCTTAAAGCAATACAATCATAATTCAGAAAAATATAAACAGCATGATGCTTAAAAGTTCAACAAAATTACATCCATTTGTTTCTTGTGCTACAGTCACTGCACACAGGAAAGCCTTTAACAAAATGCAGACTCCGTTGGTCCAATATTGAGTAATTCACCAGCATAAAACATTTTTATCCCACTGAAATGGAAAGAAGCATTTTTTTTCTTATAGCCTGTTTGMATATTAAATACAAAAGGTACATTCTGAAAAGGACAAAACAATGATCTCTTAACAACCCACATACCAGACTCCTTTTTGGTTTAGCTTATTAAATTCACTATTCTTTCTCATGCAAAAAAATATATATACTGATTTATACTGCCATACTAAAGATCTCAACATAGTATAAAGCACAGCACATTTAAATTCAGGACCTAGAAAGTCTTCTTTTTTAAAGACAAATGAGGATTTTAATCCTATAATAAGTTGCTGTTGCAGTACCTATTCTTAACTATATCTTTATATGTATTCCCTTCACTATAACTGCAACTTTCAAACTTGCCTCCAAAGAATGGAAGTCGACATTTATCACTTTAGAGCAGCCGTATCCTCAAGGCATATAAAATATGACTATTTAAACAGTTACAAAAACTGAAAGCTACAATAACTGATAAAGATTAAAGTACCATGGCTTAGATCTTAGAATCTCCTCACTTTTCAACCAGAAGGAGCATCTCTTGAACAGACTTCATCAGAGAGGATATTTCCATCAGTTAAGAATGAAACCTTTGAATCTATTACTGAGACATTACTAACTTTATCTTATCCAGAAGGGTCTTTGCTTCAATGAGGGCAGCAATTTTTCCAAATTTCCTCTTTATCCTACAGTATCCTGCCATACTGCCTATACTGTTCTGAATGGATCCTCATGCTCTGAAGTAGATATTATGCAGGAAAAATCTGTGAAAATCACCTCCTCCACCCTTCATTCACAGAAGGCTAGTGTGGATCAGAAAGCATTCTGAGATTGGCGGGACTGAATCAGCACTGCTTAGTTCAATATTTAATAATATATACATTAAATCTGCAGTCTGATCCAGCAGGTCCTTACCTGAAACAAGTGCTCCAAAATGTATGAAACTTGTATATGACTGTTGGCTTTATCACTGAATTTAGGTTTAAAAAATTAGGTAAAATATCACTGAATTTAGGTAAAACAGTAAGCAAAAAGGAGGTCGGTATAAAGGTAACATGGAGAGCAGTCCTGAAAATTAAACCAGTAGGAATTTCAAGACACGCAGCACTATCCACATGTCCACAAGCTTCTGGAGCAAAGCCTTTATGACCAAAATAAAAGCCTAGTGAAAGTGAAATTATTTTAATCATCGATTCTAGTCAATTAATAAAGAAATAAAATGGGGAAAACTAGCAGACAGAAACAATATTTTCAGGAAAGAAAGCAGTAAAGAAATTAATGGTATATTATATAGTATACAATACTATTAAGCCTATAGAAGCTGAATGAAGCCATCATTTTTCTTGGCAAAAGATTTTCTAAGCAGGTAACCAAAACCAAAAAGAGAACATTTTCAGTAAATGCAGAAAGAGCCACTATAACTCCTTCAAAGCAGCAAAAGGGAGGCACAGAACAGATAATTAGGATAGGGAAACATAGCAAAATCCTAACCTCAACCTCCTCAATCTAGGTCATAAACTCAATCATGTTGACCTCTGTTGTATGTAATATGCCGAGGTTGTGTTCCAGAAAATACAAGACTATTTGAAATCCCTATCATAGCTTAAAGGGTACAGAAGACATTTCACTGGGAAGCACCATGAAGCCAACTAAAAACCGTCAAAGCTACAAGGTGCTATTCAAGTGTCACTTAAAAAGGCACTTGGTTCCTATGATCAATTTGGCTTCTTTTAACTGTACATTAAAACCCTACTTATAGACAAAAATGCTTTATATAGAACTGATACATTGACAGAGGAATTTCAAAGAAATACTCCTCAACAAGCCAGCAATTTAGATTATAAAAGCTGTGTGGAAAAAATGCCAATTTCACTTTTATTATTTTATTTTCTACTCAAGATTTCTGCAAGCCATTATCAAGGCAGCTGAAAAACTATAATTGATACAGGTGTCTATCTTCCTGAATCAACAAACAAAAGAGAAGAACAAACCTAAACTGAATTCAAGCCTAGAGCATTTAGGCATATAGTCAGACACAGTTATTAAATTGTCAGTCTCAACAAAGGAGGGAAAGAAAAACTACAAGAAGCTTTCTTACATGCAGCCTATTCTAGACACCTAACACAGACAGCCATTCCACAATTAAAAATAGAAACACTATAAAGAGTTTGTTATTCTAATGGTTCAAGAGATTAAAAACTGGGCAAGAGCAGATGAAGCACATGTAACGCTTGTTGTCATCACTTATCAGTAAAGGACGTAGCCTGAAGAAACTAAGCCAAAGGTTTGGGAAAATATGAATAACAGATGACATTTTAACAAGCACTAGAATTTCCAGACCAAACCCAGCTATAAAAGCATTTGCTTGATTTTCCATTAACAAAGCAAGCAACAATTTTTCACTGGGTTCAGAAAAATGCAATGAAACAATTGACAAGTGATCTAACACCCATCGAAAAGCCAATGACTTTGTGCATACAAAATTTGACAAGATTGCCTCGCTGGCTATCAAGGGTCCAATTGGGGATTCTATGGTATTTATTTCAAGCTATTTTATTACTTCTGTTTTCAATGTCTAGAATTCCTTTGTTCTGTTGTAATCCCGGTTTTTAAAGATAATTACTTTCTCCTTAAAGAGCATAAATAGTCTGAATCACTGTAACTTCAGACTACTGACTCAGAAGCAACCCTGTGAAATTAGCAGACTGCTTCAGAGCACATAGCTTGCAACAAATTTCTATATGCTAACGCTTTTATTACCCACTACTCCATAATAATAAGCTGAAATGACTACAAGTTGAATGTAATCAAATCAGACCTTAGGTGAAATATCAGCAAAATTAAATCAAACACACAAAAAAGCAATGAGTAATTTGTATTTAATCCTTTGGACTGCGATTGTGTTGTTTCACACAACTCCAATGTTTAAGTTGGTTTATAGCTAACAGACAGTAGCTCCAGGTCTTCCCTTCAGTTATTTCACCCTGTCTGATTTGAGAAAATACCTCTGAGAGATTACATTCTCTTAGTGTAGAAGTACCATACGCAGGGTGCTTTGGACAAATGATCACAAATATTATAATGTAAAGTTTTCTGGGTGAGAAAGCAGTGGCTGTGACAAAAAGTGTAACACAAATGCCTTGTGGACTGCTATCGCTGCCAGAATACAACAGCATAAAGAAGCTGCTGCATGCCCTAGTCCAACATTTACTTGACCTCAAAGAGATTAGTAAATGAAACAACTCTGATGTTGTGTTTGTGGGAGACTGGTTGGCAAAGACTGCAAAACTCAAAGCAAGGACTAGCACACAGTGTCTTATTTTAGTACTCCCATTCATCTGTTTTCATGTCCAAGTAGTAAAGAATATTCTGTGCAAGCTTCACTGCCTGTTTCCTGGCTACTTTGGGGCGCTCGTCTCCTTGAGGGTCTATAGCATCCAGAGATAGAAGCTGTTTTGTAAGAAGTTCCTCCAGTCTCATGTAGTTCTTATCAGTTCTGTTCCCATCGAATGACAGCACCTCTTGCTGAATTTGGGCCACGTTTCCAAGAATATGCCAAACAGCTTTGTGTGCTGGAGGCTCGGCCTCTGTTTGTTCCACAAAAGCTTGCCGTTTGACAAGTGCCTCCTTTAAGTCAATATATGTAATGAGGGTTTGTACTTCTATCACTGCTCGCCTTCTGGCTTCTCGGATGCATGGATTTTTGCCAGGACTCACTTCATCCAACTGAGCAATTAACCCCTGTAGCTCTGTCTTTGACCTCAGGTACAAATCTGAAGCTCTCTCGCCCTTTAAAAGGGAAGCATGAATCTCTTTCATCTTCTTGCGGATTTCTTCTATTTTTATAATGCACCGGTTTTGTGCCAAATCATAAGCGTAAGTGCTATCAGCTTCTTCGTCCAGGTCCAAATATTTCTGCAACCTGTTAATCTCTTCCACAACTTCCTTACGATAGTTTCTTATTTCTGGTCGGCCACAGACATCTAAGGCATCCAGATCAGCAATCAAGCCTGTGAGCACACAAGATAAATGTCTGCAGGTCTCGTTGTTATTTACTCCCATCAAAACACCAATCAGGGTCCCTTTTGCTTTGTTCACTTCAACCATGACAGAATTAATCTTGGCAACAGAAGGATGTGCATCGCTGGACAATGGCAGGGAGGGCTGCTGTTTTGTACAAGTGTCCAAGATCTCCTGAACGGCACATACTTTGGTCAAAGTGCGATACCTGGCTTTCCGCAAAGCGATTTTCCCTCCCGTTTTCACCTGAGTGAGTCTAAAAATGATATCCTGAATACCTTCTTCAAATTCCTCGGTCACACAGTTGCCTCCTTTGTGAAAAGCTGCAATTTCTTGCTCCACTAACATTTGAGCTTCATAAAATATAGCCTCTATCTCCAGTCTTTGGGGGTGGTTGGCAATCTGTTCCAGTTCTTTAAGCAGTCTCTCAGTTTCCTGGGCAGCCCTCTTTCTGGCTTGTTGAACATCACCCCTGCCTTCAGCATCTACAGAATCTATTTCAAAAAGCTGCTTAGTCAAAGCTCTCTCTAGTTTCTTATATGCTCTGTCGCTGGACAGACCACTGAAGGTTGCTACTTGTGGTTCCAATTCTTTCACTTCTTTCTGTATTTCTTGCAGCCTTTTGATGGCAGGATGTTGATTACCCATATCCATTATTTTTCTTCATCCAGTTTCAACAGAGCTAGAAATAAAAACACAGTTACATTTAATTGATACCTGAATTGCTAGGAAATATTCATAAAGTTTATATTTTCTGGGGTTTTAAAATTTAAATGCTTGCAATCTGTTCTGTATCAGCAGCTCTCAGGAAAGTGATACAGTTAAGTAAAATCACCTTAACATATTTGAACATCACAATCAGAAGAAATATTGCAATCTGATAGTAAAAATTCCAAGATCTTACTAGGTCTCAAATACTTGGGTGAATAAACTGGGCAACAGGAAGAGCAATGTCAGCACAGTTGGGTCTCCAATGGAAGGACTTTCACAATTAGGTTGATACAGCCAAGAAATCCCTCTCTAGCATCCCAGTTTTTCTTTCAAATGTTTACTTTTTTGTTTTGCATCATCTTGGAAATACCAATCTGCAGCCACATCTGTTGGCTTTAGCAACAGGGTTTATATGGCTGTGGCTTCTCCAGTCTTTCTAAGATAGCATTTTCTTGTCTATTAAGAGTTCTTATTTTATTTTGTACACTAACATCCTACTGTTATTCAGACCAACTAAAAAAGCAAGGTGAAGTGCTTTTTCTCCCAGGTTAGGCAATAGCTTTGACTGACTTATATCATGAGAAAATGTTTCCCCTTTGCTGTCTTTAAAAACCACAGTGAAGAAAAAGGTAGTAACCAATGCACTGATGAAGAAAAGTAAAGATGATATACTGCCATCTGCTTCCCAAACCACTACTCTCCCAATTTTTTTTTTCGTGTCAGGAGCGACTTGAGAAGCTGCAAGTCGCTTCTGGTGTGAGAGAATTGGCTGTCTGCAAGGACATTGACCAGGGGACACTAAGATGTTTTGATGTTTTTACCATCCTTGTGGGAGGCTTTCTCTCTTGTCCCTGCGTAAGGAGCTGGAGCTGACAGAGGGAGCTCATCCGTGCTCTCACCAGATTTGAACCTGCAACCTAACAGAGGGAGCTCATTCACGCTCTCCCCAGATTTGAACCTGTGACCTGACGATCTTCAATCCTGCCGGCACAGGGGTTTAACCTACTGTGCCACTGGGGCTCCACTCTCCAAATGCTAGGACAACACAATAGCTGAGCAAGTAAAAAAAAAAAGAGTAGTTTTCATCCCCCATACTCTTGCCCTGCTCACAGCAGCAATAAGATACATGAGAATACAACCAATACTGTCAGTCTCTGCCTCCACTTTCCTCTCTCCTAATGCCTCCAGCTAAAAAGTAGTTTTTGCAGAGCCATCACTTTAAACAACAGTAACCAGCATTTCAACCCTACAGTACGGCAAGACTTATTTCCTGAGTCCCCTTGGAGAGAGAGAGCAGGTTAAAATTAAAGTTTTATTATTGGGTTGCTGTGAGTTTTCCAGGCTGTATGGCCATGTTCCAGAAGCATTCTCTCCTGACATTTTGCCCAGATCTATAGCAGACATCCTCAGAGGTTGTGAGGTACATTGGAAACTAAGTTTTATTACTATTACTTTTATTACTATTAGATATTTCTCACTTCCTGTTGTGTTGTTTCACCCCCGTTCTTAACTATAAGTCAGATGTTTGTAACTCAGAGACTAACAGTGCTGCCTGTGAAAACTCTAGAACACGGATGGGCAAACTTCAGCCCTCCAGATATATTGGACTACAATTCCCACCAATTCCTAACAGCCTACTGGCTGGGCTGCTATGAGTTTTCCAGGATATATGGCCATGCTCCAGAAGCATTCTCTACTGGCGTTTCGCCCACATCTATAGCAGTCATCCTCAGAGGTTGTGAAGTATATGGGAAACTAAGTTTTATTATTATTACTATTATTTGAAACACAACAAGATGAGTCCACAGCAAACAAGATCATTCTGCTGGCTGTTGTACTGAATCACACATCAGACACTTCCCTATTATTACTATTATTATTATTATTATTATTATTATTATTAGATATTTCTCACTTCCTGTTGTTTCACCCCTGTTCTTAACTATAAGTCGGATATTTGTAACTCTGAGACTAACAGTGCTGAATGTGAATACCCTAGAACAGGCATGGGCAAACTTCGGCCCTCCAGGTGTTTTGGACTACAACTCCCACAATTCCTAACAGCCTACCAGTTGGGTTGCTATTAGTTTTGCAGTCTGTATGAGTTTTAACAGTGCTGAATGTGAAACCCCCTAGAACAGGCACAGGCAAACTTCGGCCCTCCAGGTGTGTTTTATTTTCAATTACGTTATTTTGTACTGTTTATTTTACTTGATTGGTTTATTTATTTTATTGTGATGTTATTTTGTTGTATGAAACATCAAGGCTGTTAAGATTTTCTGGAGGGACCCTGCTCTCGGTCCCACCACCCTCCCAATTGCGTCTGGTGGGGATGAGAGACAGAGCCTTTTCTGTGGTGGCCCCCCGGCTATGGAACTCCTGATTGAGATCAGATCTGCCCCCTCCCTCCTGACCTTCAGGAAGCTAGTGAAATCCTGGCTATGGAACGAGGTATTCCCAGAATGATGGCAGAGACTGGCAACTGACTAAAGTTATCGACCACATATGCGGACTGAGTGGGACATGATTTTATCTTGATGAACTGGCTTTTATGTATTTTAGTCTATATGTATTTTGATTTATTGTTGATGTACAATGTTTTAGATCAGGGGCCCTCAAACTAAGGCCCGGGGGCCGAATACAGCAATGTGGAATGAATTACGGACTCTGAGGTGGCGAACGCTATTAGATTGTTTTTATTGATTTCGATGTATAAACTGACTGTCTTAATTGTTATAATTGCTGTTTACATGTTTTATCCATTGTTATGTTTATGCTGGCATCGAATTGTGCCTTTGTAAGCCGCCCTGAGTCCCCCCTTGGGGGTTGAGAAGGGCGGGGTAGAAATACGCGAAATAATAAATAAGTATCCTCAGAGGTAGCGAGGTCTGTTGGAACTAGGAAAAAGGGTTTATATATCTGTGGAATGACCAGGGTGGGACAAAGGACTCTTGTCTGCTGGAGCTAGGTGTGAATGTTTCAACTGACCACCTTGATTAGCATTTGATGGCCTGGCAGTGCCTGGAGCAATCTTTTGTTGAGAGGTGATTAGATGTCCTTGTTTGTTTCCTCTCTGTTGTTGTGCTGTTGTAATTTTCAGTTCTTGTGGTTTTTTCGGGCTATATGGCCATGTTCTAGAGGCATTTCTCCTGACGTTTCGCCTGCATCTATGGCAAGCATCCTCAGAGGTGAGGTCTGCTGGAGCTGGGAAAAAGGGGTTTATATATCTGTGGAATGACCAGGGTGAGACAAAGGGCTTTTGTAAGTTGGGCTAGGTGTGGATCTTTCAACTGCCCACCTTGATTAGCATACAATGGGCTGACTGTGCCTGGGGCAAACTCTTCTTTCTGTTGGACCACCAAACGCAGCGCCCAAACAAGAATCCAGGAACATGAAAGGCACTGCAGACTACTCCAACCAGAGAAATCAGCCATAGCAGAGCACCTAATGAACCAACCTGGACACAGCATTTTATTTGAGAACACAGAAATGCTGGACCACTCCAACAACCACCATGTCAGACTACACAGAGAAGCCATTGAAATCCACAAGCATGTGGACAATTTCAACAGAAAGGAGGAAACCATGAAAATGAACAAAATCTGGCTAACAATATTAAAAAATTCTAAAATTGCAACAGCAAAAACAGCAGAGAGAAAAACAGGCAGGGACATCTAATCACCCTTCAAGAAGAGTTTGCCCCAGGCACAGTCAGCCCATTGTATGCTAATCAAGGTGGGCAGTTGAAAGATCCACACCTAGTCCAACTTACAAAAGCCCTTTGTCTCACCCTGGTCATTCCACAGATATATAAACCCCTTTTTCCCAGCTCCAGCAGACCTCACCTCTGAGGATGCCTGCCATAGATGCAGGCGAAACGTCAGGAGAAATGCCTCTAGAACATGGCCATATAGCCCGAAAAAACCCACAAGAACTGAGTGATTCCGGCCATGAAAGCCTTCGACAATATATCACTGTATTGCTTGTTTTCTTATTGCTTTTACTGTTGATGTACTTTGGGCTCGGCCTCATGTAAGCCGCACCGAGTCCCTTGGGGAGATGGTAGCGGGGTATAAATAAAGTTTTATTACATTATTATTATTATTATTATTATTATTTGGACTACAACTCCCACAATTCCTAACAGCCTACTGGCAGTCCAAAACACCTGGAGGGCCTGCCCTAGAACCATAAGTAATGCAAACACCTCCCTGTTAATAACTCATTCTTGAGTTGTCCCCCCCCCCCCCAACCTTAAAAACTAAACTGTGCCCCACGTTGGGAACCAGGGAGAGTGAATGGGTTTAGGGTTTAGGAAACTGGGGCAGGCCACTACCTCTTGCCATGCCCTCCCTTGGCCCCCTGACTGAGCCTTGGCTCCTGGCTTACCCCAGCGAGAAAGAAGCCCCTTGGGGGCAGCGAGCCCCCGCGCGCAGAGCCCGACCCCCGCCCTCTCCAGCAGCTCTACATCCTGCAGCAAAGGAAGGGAAGGAAGGAAACCGGGGATCTGCCCCCAGCCCGGGCCGCTTCCCACTGCGGAGCCAGGCGCAGCGAGCGGTGGGTGTCCCCACTCTCTCTCTCCCTCCCACCCGTGACTTCACAATGCCGGGCGATCCCGTTCCGAGGGAGGCAGGGAGGGAGCAAAGCAGGACGGAGAATGGGAGCGACCCTAACCCTTTCCCAGGTGCAACCACCATGGCTCAATGCTAGGCATGGGCAAACTTGGGCCCTCCCTCCAGGTGTTTTGGACTTCAACTCCCACAATTCCTAACAGCCTACCGGGGTAGGAATTGTGGGAGTTGAAGTCCAAAACACCTGGAGGGAGGGCCCAAGTTTGCCCATGCATGCTCAATACTACTTATTAATCGATACTAGGTGAACCCATTTTAGGTGTGGTTTTAATATGTAGTGTAATGTTTTTAAATAATATGTTACTTTTAATCCTTAACTTTGGAATTGTATGGGTTTGATGTTAAGCCGCCTTGAGTCCCCTTCTGGGTAGGGAAAGGCGGGGTATATATAAATAAAAATTTTGGGTTGTTGTAGTTTTTTTCGGGCTATATGGTCATGTTCTAGAGGCATTCTCTCCTGACGTTTCGCCTGCATCTATGGCAAGCATCCTCACAGGTAGTGAGGTTTGCCAGAGATGCAGGCGAAACGTCAGGAGAGAATGCCTCTAGAACATGGCCATACAGCCCGAAAAAACCTACAACAACCCAGTGATTCCGGCCATGAAAGACTTCGACAATAGATAAAAATTCCTTTTTACTAGTAGGCAAACTCTATTTTCCTTTATATTAGATTAGGGGTCCTCAAACTAAGGCCCGGGGGCCGGATACGGCCCTCCAAGGTCATTTGCCCGGCCCTTGCTCAGAGTCACCTAAGTCTGAAACAACTTGAAAGCACACAACAATAACAACAACCCTATAACATCAGCCAAAAGCAGGCCCACACTTCCCATTGAAATACTAATAAGTTTATATTTGTTAAAATTATTCTTCATTTTAATTACTGTATTATTTTAAAGTTTTTTGCATGACAAATAAGATATGTGCAGTATTCAAAGGAATTCATGGGTTTTGTTTTTTTCTTCAAATTATGATCCGGCCCTCCAACTGTTTGAGGGACTGTGATCTGGCCCTCTGTTTAAAAAGTTTGTGGACACCTGTATTAGATGAACACCTCTTTATTTCCCTTTATATTAAGGGATAAACCCCCCTCTTTATTTTCTTTCATATTCGTAGATTTGTTTATTTTGTGTCGTGTCAGGAGCAACTTGAAAAACTGCAAGTCGCTTCTGGTGTGAGGGAATAGGCCGTCTGCAAGGACGTTGCCCAGGGGATGCCCGGATGTTTTGATGTTTTATCATCCTTGTGGGAGGCTTCTCTCGTGTCCCTGCATGAGGAGCTGGAGCTGATAGAGGGAGCTCATCCACGCTCTCCCTGGATTCAAACCTGCAACCTGTCGGTCTTCAGTCCTGCCGGCACAGGGGTTTAACCTACTGCGCCACTGAGGGCTCCTATATTCGTATTCCTATATTCGTAGATGAACCCCCCTTTATATTAATACATGCATCTCCTTTGTTTTTCTTTATACTAGATTCATTCCCCATTTGTCTTTGATACTAGTAGATGCACCCCCTTTATTTCCCTTTATACTAATAGATGATCCCCCTTAGTGGTTCTCAACCTGGGGTCCCCAGAAGTTTTGGGCCTACAACTCCCAGATATCCCAGCCAGTTTACCAGTTGTTAGGATTTTTGGGAGTTGTAGGCCAAAAACATCTGGGGACCCCAGGTTGAGAACCAAGATGATCCCCTTTATACCAATTGTGGGAGTTGAAGTCCAAAACACCTGGAGGGAGGGCCGAAGTTTGCCCATGCATGCTCAATACTATTTATTTATTTATACTAGGTGAACCCATTTTAGGTGAACGATTATAGATGGTGTGGTTTTAATATGATGTGTAATTATTTTAAATAATGTGTTACTTTTAATCCTTAATTTTGGAATTGTATGTGTTTGACATTGAATAATTGTCTCTGTTGTTAAGCCGCCTTGAGTCCCCTTTGGGGTAGGGAATGGCGGGGTATAAATAAATAAAATTTCTGGGTTGTTGTAGGTTTTTTCAGGCTATATGGCCATGTTCTAGAGGCATTCTCTCCTGACGTATCTCCTGCATCTTTGGCAAGCATCCTCTCTCCCTCTGGCAGCAACCAGTCAGGCTTTGAAGCTGCAAGGCCATTAATCAAGGTGACAATTGCAGCATTCACACCTGCCCCAAGCAGACAATAGTTCTTTCTCCCACCCTGGACATTCCACAGATATATAAACTTCATTTGCCTAGCTTCCAACAGATTCCTCAACCTCTGAGGATGCCTGCCATAGATGTGGGTGAAACGTCAGGAGAAAATGCTTCTAGAACATGGCCCTACAAACCTGGAAAATTCACAGCAACCCAGTGATTCCGGCCATGAAAGCCTTCGACAAATAACCCTTTCTTTATTTTCCTTTATATTAGATGAACCCCCTTTTATTTCCCTTTACACTTATATATGAACCCTTTATTTCCCTTCATAGTGCAGGAGTAGATGTAGCCCCTCTTTATTTCCCTTTACACTTACTTATAGATGAACCCCCCTTTATTTTCTATTAAATGAGGCAAACCCTTCATTTCCCTTTATACCAGTGGTTCTCAACCTTCCCAATACTGTGACCCCTTAATACAGTTCCTCATGTTGTGGTGACCCCCAATCATAAAATTATTTTTGTTGCTAATTCATAACAGTAATATTGCTACTGTTATGAATTGTAATATAAATATCTAATATGCAGGATGTATTTTCCTTCTCTGGACCAAATTTGGCACAAATACCCGATATGCCCAAATCTGAATACTGGTTGGGTTGGGGGGGTTGATTTCGTCATTTGGGAGTCGTAGTTGCTGGGATTTATAGTTCACCTACAATCAAAGAGCATTCTGAACTCCACAAATGATGGAATTGAAGCAATTCCATCATTTGGCACACAGAACTCCCAAACAGAACTCCCAAACTTGGCATGGATACTCAGCACGCCCAAATGTGAAGACTGGTGGAGTTTGGGGGAAAACAGACCTTGACATTTGGGAATTGTAGTTTGCTGGGATTTATATTTTACCCTCAATCAGAGTATTCTGAGCCCCACAAACGACGAAATTGGGCCAAACTTCCCACACAGAACTCCCATGACCAACAGAAAATACTGGAAGGGTTTGGTGGGCATTGACCTTGACTTTTGGAGTTGTAGTTCACCTACATCCAGAAAGCACTGTGGACTCAAACAATGATGGATTTGGACCAAACATGGCATGGATACTCAGCATGCCCAAATCTGAACACTGGTGGAGTTTGGGGGGAAACAGACCTTGACATTTGGGAGTTGTAGTTTGCTGGGATTTATAGTTTACCCACAATCAGAGCATTTGGAGTCCCACAAATGACAAAATTGGGCCAAACTTCCCACACAGAACCCCCATGACCAACAGAAAATATTAGAAGGGTTTGGTGTATATTGACTTTTGGAGTTGTACGCTGGCAGTCTTCAGGAAGGAATTGAAAACCTGGCTGTTCCGATGTGCCTTTTCAGATTAGGAACCTCCAGTACCAAATCCTAGAAGCACCTTAGTAGAACCAAGATCACTGCACACTGCACACCGCACTTATATTTAATCCCACATCCCTCCTGCCACATCAGCACTTTTAACCCTGTACCCCTATTTCGGCCGGCCCAGTTTTAATAGTGTTTTGTTGTATTGTCACTGTTATTGTTTTCCTGCTTAACTGTTTTTAATTTGCTTGGGTATTGTATTGTTGTATTGTGTTTTTTGAGGCTTCGGCCTGTGTAAGCCGCATCGAATCCCTCGGGAGATGCTAGTGGGGTACAAATAAAGTTATAATTTGCTACCGGGCTCAATTCAAAGTGCTGGTGTTGGCCTTTAAAGCCCTAAACGGTTCTGGCCCAACCTATCTATCCGAACGTATCTCGGCCTATCAGCCCACCAGGACCCTAAGATCTGCTGGGGAGGCCCTGCTCTCTATCCCGCCTGCTTCACAGGTGCGGCCCGGCTGTGGAACGCCCTTCCCATGGAGGTAAGATCAGCCCCCTCGCTGATGGTGTTCCGAAGAAGATTAAAAACCTGGATGTTCGAGCAGGCATTTGGTTAACTCGGTGCAATGAATGGGACGATTATAGATTGGTAATATGGATGACGAAATTGCACCACGATTTTAGTTAAGAGATGCATTGAATAGCGATTTATGTGTCAATATTGGGTATTATGTTTTCTATGGTTTTAAATTGTATATTGTGGATTGTGTATCTTGTTGTAAACCGCGTTGAGTCGCCAGCTAGGCTGAGAAACGGCGGTATACAAGTACAGTAAATAAATAAATAAATAAATAAATAAATAATAATAGTTCACCTACATCCAGAGAGCACTGTGGACTCAAACAATGATGGATCTGGACCAAACTTGGCACGAATACTCAGCATGCCCAAATGTGAAGACTGGTGGAGTTTGGGGGAAAACAGACCTTGACATTTGGGAGTTGTAGTTTGCTGGGATTTATAGTTTACCCACATCCAGAGAGCACTGTGGACTCAATGATGCATCTGGACCAAACTTGGCATGGATACTCAGCATGCCCAAATGGGAAGACTGGTGGAGTTTGGGGAAAAACAGACCTTGACATTTGGGAGTTGTAGTTTGCTGGGATTTATAGTTCACCAACAATCAGAGCATTCGGGGTCCCACAAACGACAAAATTGGGCCAAACTTCCCACACAGAACCCCCATGACCAACAGAAAATACTGGAAGGGTTTGGTGGACATTGACCTTGAGTTTTGGAGTTGTAGTTCACCTACATCCAGAGAGCACTGTGGACTCAAACAATGATGGATCTGGACCAAACTTGGCACGAATACTCAATATGCCCAAATGTGAAGACTGGAGGAGTTTGGGGGGAAACAGACCTTGACATTTGGGAGTTGTAGTTTGCTGGGATTTATAGTTTACCCACAATCAGAGCATTCGGACAAAATTGGGCCAAACTTCCCACACAGAACTCCCATGACCAACAGAAAACACTGTGAGACTAAATCCCCTTCAAATGCATGCAGTTCCCACAAAGTACGTCAGCCGGGGCTTTCCCTCTTACCTTCCCCGCCGTCCCCACGCTCTCTCCTGTCAGCACGGGCCCCAAAAGCAGGCGGTCGGGCTCCTCGGAGCTCCTCCCACCGCAGCCGCCGCCATCCCAGGGCTCTTCTCCGGCGCCCCAGGGAGACGAGATCCTCCTCCGGCTCCTGCTTCTACTTTTATCCCGACCCAAGCAGTCTGGCTCCCAACACGCATGCGCACTCGCCTTCTTTCTCTGACAGGCACTTTCCAGGCGGAGGAGACGAACACTCCTTCCCTCGCGCGACAGTGCCGTAAAGCAACAGCAACACCCGCCCTCGCTTTTTTTTTAAAGCCTGTTGCCAAGGAAATCGGGTCTGGCCTCGTGAGCCCGCCCACTTTTCTCTGCGCATGCGCGAGTTGCGAGAAACCGGCGTTGACTTACTAACGGCCCTTCGTCTACTTTTTTTTTTTTGCTTCACGCATGCGTGAATGGCCGAGGGATTCCCCTTTGGTCTCTGCGCACGCGTAAATCGCCAAAAAACTCCACGGATAGGCCCGATTTGTCTTTGCGCATGCGTGAATGTCTATTTATTTATCTGTGGTGTCAGGACAACCAGTCAAATTATATTACATTTCTAACAAAACAAAGCAAACAAACAGACAAAATACACAATTTGTGAGTTTGGTAGTTGAATGTGTGAGTTTGGTAGTTGATTAAATGTCCTTTGACCAGTATAGTCTAGATTTCTTGGTGTAGAAAAGGAATGCAGTATATTTATATAGCTGCTGGTGTGTGTAAAATTGGTTAAAATTGGGAACCACAGATATAAATCTTATGGTGACTTCTAATTGTGTCTTGTGAGAATGCAGTATATCTGTACTATTTATTTATTTGTCGTGTCAGAGCAACCAGTCCATTATATTACATTTCTAACAGAACAAAGCAAACAAACAGACAAAACACAGAATTTGCAAGCTTGGTAGTTGATTAAATGTCCTTTGACCAGTATCTGGCCACTTGGAGTGCCTCTGGTGTTGCTGCAAGAAGGTCCTCCATTGTGCATGTGGCAGGGCTCAGGTTGCATTGCAGCAGGTGGTCAGTGGTTTGCTCCTCTCCACACTCGCATGTCGAGGATTCCACTTTGTACCCCATTTCTGAAGGTTGGCTCTGCATCTTGTGGTGCCAGAGCGCAGTCTGTTCAGCGCCTTCCAAGTTGCCCAGTCTTCTGTGTGCCCAGGGGGGAGTCTCTCATTTGGTATCAGCCATTGGTTGAGGTTCTGGGTTTGAGCCTGCCACTTTTGGACTCTCGCTTGCTGAGGTGTTCCAGCGAGTGTCTCTGTAGATCTTAGAAAACTATTTCTTGATTTAAGTTGTTGACGTGCTGGCTGATACCCAAACAGGGTATAACCAAACACTCTGTGCCCCGGAGTGTGGTGGAGGCTCCTTCTTTGGAAGCTTTTAAACGGGCTGGATGGCCATCTGTCAGGGGTGATTTGAATGCAATATTCCTGCTTCTTGGCAGGGGGTTGGACTGGATGGCCCATGGTGTCTCTTCCAACTCTTTGATTCTATGATTCTAGAACAGGGGTCCTCAAACTAAGGCCCGTGGGCCGGATACAGCCCTCCAAGGTCATTTACCCGGCCCTCGCTCAGGGTCAACCTAAGTCTGAAACGACTTGAAAGCACACAATAACAACAACAATCTTATCTTATCATCCGAAAGCAGGCCCACACTACTCATTGGAATACTAATAAGTTTATATTTGTTAAAATTATTTTTCATTTTAATTATTGTATTGTTTTAAAATGGCTTTTGCACTACAAATAAGATATGTGCAGTGTTCATAGGAATTTATTTGTGGTTTTTTTTTTCAAATTATAATCCGGCCCTCCAACAGTTTGAGGGACTGTGACCTGGCCCTCCATTTAAAAAGTTTGAGGACCCCTGATCTAGGGGATGAGCTGGAGATGTCTGTGCCTTGGTCCTTTCACTATTGGCTGCTACTTCCCGGCGGATGTCAGGTGGTGCAATACCGGCTAAGCAGTGTAATTTCTCCAGTGGTGTAGGGCGCAGACACCCCGTGATAATGCGGCATGTCTCATTAAGAGCCACATCCACTGTTTTAGTGTGGTGAGATGTGTTCCACACTGGGCATGCATACTCAGCAGCAGAGTAGCACAGCGCAAGGCAGATGTCTTCACTGTATCTGGTTGTGATCCCCAGGTTGTGCCAGTCAGCTTTCGTATGATATTGTTTCTAGCACCCACTTTTTGCTTGATGTTCAGGCAGTGCTTCTTATAGGTCAGAGAACGGTCCAGAGTGACTCCCAGGTATTTGGGTGCGCTGCAATGCTCCAGTGGGATTCCTTCCCAGGTGATCTTCAGAGCTCGGATGCTTGTCTGTTCTTGAGATGAAAGGCACATGTCTGTGTTTTAGATGGGTTGGGGATCAGCTGGTTTTCCCTGTAATAGGCAGTAAGAGCACCTAGAGCTTCTGAAAGCTTCTGTTCTACCATCTCAAAGCTCCCTGCTTGAGCAGTAATGGCACGATCATCAGCATAGATGAAACTCTCTGTCCCGTTCTATCGCTGGCTAACCCGGTCTCTTTTTATTCTTTGCGCATGCGTGAATTGCAAAGAAGCCGGCTTAGGACTTCTGATAAACATCCCTTTTTTCATTGCGCATGCGTGAGTTGCCGAGGACCTCGCCCCCGCCCACTAGCAACACCATTTCCTTTGCGCATGCGTCAGCTGCCGAGAAAGCGGCTCTCCAAGCCCTCCTTTCCTTACGCATGCGTCAGCAGCTTCAGCGTGACGCTCCTCCTCTTCCTTTCCTTTGCGCATGCGTGAGCTGTCACAAACCATCATGGCGGCTGCCAAGGTGGGAAAGAGTCGCGTTTTCCTCAAAAGCTTCCGAAGTTGCGTGGCGTTGGCCCCGTTGCCCGGCGGCTTTGCCTCCTCTTCGTCTCCTGGGGGCTTCTCGGGCACCGGAGGGCCGGGGAAAAGTGGCGGACCCCCTCCCTCAGAAAGCCGGGTAAATGGCAGGGCAGAGAGTGCCTCGCTTTGTTTGGGCCCCGCCTCGGCCTACCTCACAGGGTTGTTGTGATGAGGATACAAAATGGCGAACACGGCTTGGGTTTAAGGTTTCTGGAGAACAAACTGGTTGTAACGCTTATTGCTGTCATTTATACTTTGTTTCATAGCATCCTAGAGTTGGAAGAGGCCACAAGGGCTATCCAGTCCAACCCCTTGCCAGGCAGGAACACACTATCAAACACTCCTGACAGATGGCCATCCTGCCTCTCTAAAAACCTCTAGAGAAGACTCAATCACACTCCAAAGCAGCACATTCCACTTCTGAGCAGCTCTTGCAGCCAGGAAGTCCTACCAGATGTTTTGGTGGGATTATTATTATTATTATTATCTTTATTTATACCCCACAAAATCTCCCGAAGGACTCAATGCAGCTTACAATGGCCAAGGCCGCAGACAACACAACATACAATACACAATAAACTCATAAGCAAATAATAAACCATCAAGCAAGACAATAAACAATAACATCGTGACACAATTAAAATATTTTCCCCTACAGTTTAAATCCATTGCTTGTGTCCTAGGCTGAATCCACGCCGCCGTATACTGTATATACTGAAGTAGAAGCCGGCCCGAATATAAGCCAAGGTACCTAATTTTACCACAATAAACTAAGCCGAGGGTGGAAAATGCAGCAGCTATGGGTCAATTTCAAAATAAAAAAATGATATTTATTTATTTATTTATTAATTTACTTTGCTTGTATACCGCAGTTTCTCAGCCTTGTAGGCGACTCAACGCGGTTTACAACAAGAGCAAAAGTCAATCCAACAGCATACAAAATTTAAAAACCATTAACAGCATAATATACAAATGACACATCAATAACAACACATTAACGTCTCGTAACTAGAATCGTGATCCAATTCGTCTTCCATAATTCCGTTTCCTATATTCATCGTGTACATTGCATTGTTTAACCGAACGCCTGTTCAAACAGCCAGGTTTTTAGTTTTCTTCGAAACACCATTAACGAAGGGGCTGATCTAATGTCCATGGGAAGGGCGTTCCACAGCCGAGGGGCCACCACAGAGAAGGCCCTGTCCCTCGTCCCCACCAGCCGTGCTTGTGATGCAGGCGGGATCGAGAGCAGGGCCTCCCCAGAAGATCTTAGAGTCCAGGTGGGTTCATAGGCAGAGATACGTTCGGATAGGTAGCTTGGGCCAGAACCGTTTAGGTACCAATACAATTACATTAATTGAGGCATCAGTAGGTTAAATGTTTTTGAATGTTTACATAAAACTGTAATTTAAGATAAAACTCTGATTAAACCATTATTCTAACCTTCTTCAATGTAAATGTGCTTGTGTATCCTTCCAATAATAATAAAGAGAGTAAAATAATAAATGTCATAAAAATAATAATAGAGTAAAATAATGGAAAGGCATTCGACGAGTGAGCCAACACCCTGAGATATGGATGGAGGATGATGAACACCGATTTTAGTGGGACGACCGACCATTGTATTTATTGAATGTAATTGCTGTTTTATTGTAATATGAATTATGATGTTTTATTGACTGTATGTGATATTATGGTTGGAAACCGGTCGAAGTCCCTCAAGAGAGGTGAGAAGGTTGGTATACAAAGCTTTTAAATAAATAAATAAATAAATGTAAGAATGACAATAATAATAGAGTAAAATAACAAATGTAATAACAATAATAATAATAGTAATAATAATAGAATAAAATAATAAATGTAATAAAATAATAATGGAGCAATATAATGTAAATATAATAATTTATTATTTATTTATTTATTTACTATACTTATACCCTACCCTTCTCACCCCGAAGGGGACTCAGGGCGGCTTACAAACTATGGCAACAATTCAATGCCAGATTCAGATAACAACAATATCAATAGAACACAATATTAATAGAGTAAAATAATACATGTAATAATAATAGAGTACAATAAAAATGTAATAAAACGATAATAAATTGAGAAAAATAAATGTAATAATAATAAAAATAGAGTAAAATAATAAATGTAATAATAATAACAAATAGAGTAAAAGATTACATAATAAATAATACTAACAACAGAGTAAAATACTAAATAACCTTGACTCAAGTATAAGTCAAGGGGGGCTTTTTCAGCCTAAAAAGGGGGCTGAAAAACTAGGCTTATACTCGAGTATATACAGTAATCCAGTTTCAGGGCCCTTCCACACAGCCATATAACTCAGAATATCAAGGCAGAAAATCCCACAATATCTGCTTTGAACTGAGTTATCTGAGTCCACGCTGCCATATATTCCAGTTCAATAATGTGGGATTTCATTCAGCTGTGTGGAAGGGGCATCAGAATGTAGATTAACTGTATTGAATTTATCCTGGATTATATGAGTGCCACATTTATTTAATTATTTATTTATCGTCTCAAAAGCAAACCGAGTGTTCCATAATAATAATCTTTATTTGTATTCTGTGCTCTCTCCTCAAGGGGACTCAGGGAGGATTACAACGAAAAATGACAAACATTCAATGCCGAATCCATTCAAAGATACAAATATGTACCACTCATATCCCAAAAAGAAACCATCTACAACGAAATTATAACAAACATAAATGACATAACCTATCAATCAATTTACATCTTGCATAAAAACATTCAGCATAAATTATATAAAACCATACTTAAAGTTCCTTTAAAATAGTTATTAAAATATTATAATGCAGTTCATCTGCATTCTGGAACTGGATTATATGACAGTGTGGATCCAGCCTGAGTCTCCAGAGCAGCAGAAAATAAACTTGCCCCCTTCTCAATGTGACATCCTTTCAGATATGTCTATCATATCCCCTTCTCAGCCTTCTCTTTTCCAAGCTAAACATACCCAGCTCCCTCAGCCGTTCCGCATAGGTCTTGGCTTCCAAACCTTTCATAATGTGCTCACCTTTCTCTGGACACGTTCCAACTTGTCAATATCCTCTTGAATCCTGGTGACCAGAACTGGACAGTGTTAATCCAAGTGAGGTCTGACCAAAGCAGAATAGAGTGAGACTGACTTCTCTCAATCTAGACCAGACACAGGCAAACTTGGGCCCTCCAGGGTTTTCAACTTCAACTCCCACAATTCAGTTGTGGGAGTTGAAATCCAAAACACCTGGAGGGCCTAAGTTTGCCTGTGCCTGGTCTAGACATTATACTGTTGATGCAGCCTAGAATCACACTGACTCATGTCCTGCTCATATAGTGCCATCAGAGGAAGGAACTGGCAAAATGAGCTCTGAATATTCCTTGCTTACAAAAACACTATGATTTTTTTGGGGGATTGTCATAAGTTGACAGAAGACTTTACACACACAAGATCTGACCTTGGTTCCTTTTTTTTTCTTTGTGGAGTGACAGTCTGAAAAGCCCAGAAGGACTGCCAAGGAATATCAATTGCTGTAGGCTGTATTTCAGGGGAAGGAACTGACAAAACTACCTCTAAGTGTTCCTTGCCTAAGAAATTCCTGTGAAATTCATGGGGTCACCGTGAGTCAACAGGTGACTTGAAAGCAAATACATCACTGTACATTCCATTTTACAAGCAAAACAACAACAAAACAGCTTCCTGCCCTCTGGTTTACAGTCTAATTTAAGAAATGACACAAAAGGAAAAGGAGACAATTAAGTCCAGCAGAAACTGCCTCATCTTATCTCCACTCAATAACAAGAAGACCACAAAAGTTGGGAGTAGAATTTTTCAGCCTTAATGTTGTTGGTCCACAAGTCACCTCTGATTTATGTGGGTTTTTTTGTTTTTTAATAAATTTTTATTAAGAAAAGTTTCTGTTTACATAAAATAATGGGGATTTTCAGGGAAGGAAAATGGTAGGTAAGAAATTGTTATAAGTCCATAGGTGACTTGAATGGGGATAATTAAAGGTTTTAAATATCTGAGTTAGGGTTGCATCGCTGGGGTTGTATCGCTGACAGTTTTAGTTCATCAGGTTGCTATAAGGAACTTACTGGGTTTAAATCTGTTTTAATTTTTACTTCGTATGTTCTTAAATGTTTTGTTAGCCGCTTTGAGTCTTGCCTTGGTGCGGGAGAAAGGCGGGTAAAAATCAACTCAAATAAATCAAAAGCATATACACATAAATGAATAAAAGATCTTCAAATCACCATTATCAACAGTCATAATTGCATCTTTCAAACTCAGGACCGTGACTTCCTTAACTGAGTTAATTCACCTGTAAAGTAGTCTTTATCCACTACCTTCCACTTTACCAAGCATTGCGATCTTTTCCAGTGAATCACAACATCTCATCGCATCACATTTTAAACGAGTTGATGTTTTTCCTGTCAGCTTTCATGCCAATATAAAGCTATCTCTACATCTGAGACTTAATGTCTTACTTATATTTGTGGTGAGATGTGATTTCTATGAGCATAAGATATTTAAATGAAGAATAATGTTTAATTTCTGTACTTCTGATGAGCAATTTATGGTCTTTCAGATAATGCTGAACTGTAGCTCTAGCATCCTTTAACACTGGCTAGATACTCTCTCAATCTTTTGCTTATAAATCATATACCTGTAATTTGAGCAAATTCACCCAATAAAAATGCTGATTGGGAAAAATGAACCATAGTTCAAACTATAGGTAATAGGTAATAATTTTTATTCATGTAATTTAAAAACCTTCCATTGATGACTCTAAAATTTTAGAGACCCTTGAGCAATGAGGTCCAGAACTTGTAGCAGTCATTGGATGTAATATGCAATTTTAGGTATTCTTGGAAGTTTCTGTGCAAATTGAGAATACTTATGATGGGATCCTGGTGAACGGCTGGCAACACTACGTTAGCATATACAAGAGTCTGATCAAAATATAATATTCACTTTATGTTTGCTCTTGTCACTAGGTCTTAGTTGAAGTTTTCCTACAATTTGTGCATGTATTTATAACTCTCTTTTCTGTTACTCTGTGATTTTGATCTTTTCCATTCAGCTAATCCTTACTCAGGTCAGTCCATTCCAATTACCGTTTCTCTTGCAACTGCTTTTGAGGCCTATTCCTCTCCTCCCAATGTGCACTTTTTACACAACTTCCTAGCTTAAAATGTTGTTGTAGTTTCCAGTACACTGCTTTCTAACTCATATGGGGAGATCTTTGTTTTGGGATTCAACTCCAAGAAGCCACCATTGTCAATTGTTAAGATTCTGGGAGCTATAACTGAAAATGTTAGAGAGCAAAAAGTTGCCAGTGAAGTCTCTGACCTTGGAACGCTGTTCCTCCTGCCCCTAGGATCTTCTTTAATATTTTCACAGCCATTAATACCTTTCAGTTTTCTCACAAAAGTCACTAAATTTCATAGTATTCTGTGAGCTTCCTTCCTACTCAGAATAGTTAGAATATTTGTGTCACATCACAAGAGCAGCTTGATCAATGGGAGGACAACAGTGGCTTCCCAGTTATAGCAAGAGCACTGATATCTGCTAGTTAAATTCAGAGCCTGCTGTGCATATACAAATCTCCTATGTTGACAGTGGTAGAGAAAGAAGATCTACATGTGAAGTTTTCTGTATGAAGACTTGCACTATACATAAAAACTGAGATGCCTGTGAGCTTCTAGATAAACTGATTGTGAAATGGCTAATCATTATCAGGTTCGGATTTGAAATGAACATTTCCAATGAAGTCATTCAGTATTGTTAATATTTATAAGTGCAAAATAGTTGAAGACAAAATTGAAAAGGCAGGTGCAAATGAAGAGAAACACATCATTTTCTTTATTTGTAAAACAATACTTTGGAGGATTGTGAAATTCCATTGTCAACAGGTTTTAGGTCCCCATGGTGTGTGAGAGAGAAATTGACAATGTATTTTCGAAGGCTTTCATGGCCGAAATCACTGAGTTGTTGTAGGTTTTTCGGGCTGTATGGTCATGTTCTCGAAGCATTCTCTCCTAATGTTTCACCTGTATCTGTGCAAGCATCCTCAGAGATTTTGAGGTTGCTTGCCACAGATGCAGGTGAAACGTCAGGAGAGAATGCTTCTAGAACATGGCTATACAGCCCCAAAAAACCTACAACAACCCAGAGAAATTGACATTTTAAAAAAACACACACTTATATCATGGCATTTCATGTTTGAGCAAGAATTTCCAGTCCCTGAAGGTCACATACCAAATAGATGATGGTGGGCAGGCATATTTGTCATATTTGTTACTGGTTCATATTATTAATCGTTTACATATAATTTGTGTAAGCATGAAAGATTGCAGATGCTTGCAATCTTGTAAGGGGACTTACTGTATGGGGAATATTGTAAGGGGACTTACTGTGCCATATTATTAAAACATTTCTTAATTTAAATGGAATTTACTACTAAGTAAACTATTCTAACACAGGGTGGCTTAGACCTCACAACCTTTGAGGATGCCTGCCATAGATGTGGGTGAAACGTCAGAAGAGAATGCTTCTGGAACATGGCCATGCAGCCCAGAAAAATCACAGCAACCCAGTGATTCCAGCCATGAAAGCCTTCAACAACACATATTCTAACACAGATGAATGGTTGAAATTGTCATAGAATGTCAACAACAGAGAAACCCTTTCATTAATAGTGGGAAACTTGTTGGTTAATTAGCGAATTCAAAAACTGGATCACTGTTTAAATTGGTGTAAATATGACTATATTTTTATGTATGATAGAATTTTGCTGTATAAATGACTTCATGTTTTATATAGTAAACTGCAGTGGAAGAGTGCAGTGAAAGGTAGAAAGGAAATGAATATCATTTAAAAATGTAATTATCAATTTAACATTTTATTAGGGATGTATTTACATCACTAATCTAACATAGGTTAAGTCCAAATTTTGTTAAATGTGCAGCAGACCCAATCATGGTGAATCTAAATCTAATTTATTTCTATTAAAATGCTTCCAACTTTTAAATTATATAATTGGTGGGAGCCTTTTTTGCAATGAATGAAACCTATGAGATTCAAAGACTTCATTGTGGTTAATGTATACTGACATCTAATTAATTTTCATATAATTTAAGATAGAAATGGGTTTTAATAGTTTCATATTTCAAAAATTGATTGTTTTTCTTTTCTTTTTTAAGACTTCAGATTTTTGCCCTCCTTCACATTCTTGCAACGATTGGATTGGTCCTCCTGATCGATGTTCAAACCTCCGACCAGTAATATTTTATATTCCTAAGCATGAATCCCCTTTGGAACGAAGACTAAGAAAGCTTAGACAAGAAACTCAGATTTGGAATCAACGGTTCTGGGAAAACCAGAATATATCATTTAGAAAGGTGAGCTTGCAGAGGAAATACAAAGCCACTTGGTGGCGCTAGGACCCTTTTAACAGCTTGAAGGGAATATTATCAAGCGGAATCTTAACAGGAATTTTCTGCTGTTTCCATCTATTTTTAACTTTTAATGCCTAGTCTATATAGTGTGTCATTCATTCTTAACAATTTGCTTCATAAATCCTCAGAATAATGTGTTTTATGATGTCTTGTTAAAAAAAACCTTGTATCTATTTATGACAAACAGGCCTAATGCACTTTTATTTCGCTGAGTAAAGCACTGCTGCACAAATCTTACTTAGAATCAGAGTTGAAGAGCACTACAGTGGCCATCCAGTCTAACCACTTGTCATAGTAGATATGATTTGTTTGTCTTAATTATGTTCGTCTCCTAAGCTCGTAGCATTTTTCCTCCTTTCAATCCTAACAGGAATGTACCTCAGTGAATAATAATAAATAAATATAATAATTTTATTTATAGACCACCCTCTCACCTTGAGGGGACTCGGTGTGCTTTCCATACAAAAAGATGAATATTCAATGCCATAATCAAATTCGAACACATCACAATAATACAAAATGACATGAATAAATTTATAACATAAGAAAGGAATGATACAAATACTCAAAATAAGCATAATTACAAAAATATCCTAATTGCATTAAAGACATGTACTCTGGAAGATTAGATGATTAAAACATATTTAAAGTGCCTATCAGTTGGGCTTTAAAATGTACCATCCAGCCATAAAATATTAATAAATTAGCCAGCATTCCGGTGGAATTGATTTAAGGTGTGGTAGTCCTCTCCATACGCTAAGGGGCATAAGTTTATTTTCTGAAGGTTTTTGAAGGAGAGGAGGGTGGGGACCATTTTTATTTCTTTAGGAAGGGAGTTCCAGAGACAGGAAGCAATCACGGAGAAGGCCCCCTCTCTCATTCCTACCAACCATGCTTGTGACGGGGGTGGGACCAAAAGCAGAGCCTCCTCTGCTGACCGCAATGCACGAGATGGTCTATACAGGGAGATGCGGTTGGATAAATAATCTGGACCCAATTCGATTAGGGCTTTATAGGTAACAACCAGCAATTTGTATTTAGCCCAGAAGCAGACCAGCAGCCAGTGGACCTGCTGTAGCATGTGAGTGGTTCTCTCCCTGTATGGAGCCCCAGTTAATAACCTGGCTGTGGATCTCTGACTTAACTGTAGCTTCTGAACTATCTTCAAAGGCAGCCCCACATAGACAGCGTTGCAGTAGTCCAAATGGGGTGTGACTAAGACATGGACTACCATGGCCAAATCAGGTGTCTCAAGGTACAGGTGCAGCTGGCACACAAGTTTTAACTGTGCAAAGTTATATTACATTTGTGGGATTTCAGATAAATTATTTACTGAAGAGCATTTAGTGATCCAGTTTGTTTTGTAAGTCCCACATCCAGTAACATTTATGGGTAGATTAAAATGGAGTCAACTGATATACTGACAACCTGTACAGTATCCTTTTTTCCAATCTCATTTCAGGAAAAAGAAGAATTTATTTACTCCAGGTTGAAAGCCAAAGGTCTACAGCTCAGAGATGAAAAAGGTTAGATTATTGTTCCTACACTTTCTTAAAAGAAAAATTCAGGTTAGTTATGGATTTTAAGCCTTATAAAATACTATAGACACAGTACTTTTAGAGTAAATGAGCAATGAAGGAGTATTTTTTTAAAATGTACTTACCAGAGGTATTTAATATTAATTTACTAATATCATATATTCCCAGAGTCTCTTACCCTCATATTCCTTTTGCTGCTGCTTGTAAATACCCGTTTTCTCAGAAAATTTTGTAAATTCCCTAGCAAGAAATGTTTATTAAAGAGTAAAAGTATTTTTTTAAAATCTATAGCAACTTAAAAATCTATAGCAAGAGTGATTGCATGTAGCCCTTTTCTTATTGTACTTCAAACCTTCAGTTTCCAGAGAAGAGATTATTCCACACAGGTGTTAACAGTGCAACTGCTTATTATTTACATAACAGTATCATTCCTGTTGTATTTAAGATAAAGGCTGAAAGATAGTTACTTGCTCAAACTTGACTAAGCAAAAGACCCACAACAAAATCCTTATCTCGCAGATTCATATTTAAATCTATATGAACTTTGCCATGATAGATCATGCAACATTTGTCTTTAAATGTATGTACTAGCATAAGTAAGAGGCATTCTGGTTTAGAGACAATGATTATAATGATGATTTTGATTTTTTTAGGCCAAAAAGCTACCTTGGGTGTTGAAGAAATGGCAGAATTTTACAGAATTTTTCTGAGTAAAAACTTTAAAAAACATATATGCTACAACAGGTGAGCATATGGCTTTGTACCTGAAATGTACTTCTTTGTTTATCAAATCAGTTTTCTTTATATCAACTCGTCCCTTTAACAAAACTGTTCATGGACCATTCTTGGATCTTATTTATGGTCTTTGCTCATTTTCAGCTGCCAGATTTGAGTCCTCATTGATCTGTTCCCATCATTCTTTGTTTATCCCTCACCCACCCCTGCTTCTGTGTCTTGCTGTGTCCAATACAGACTGGGAGCCCTGGAGGCAGAGATTACAAGGCCTTAAGGCACATTGCATTTGGCACATTGTTGTGTACCAGCATGCCAGATGGCTTTTATGGGAATAAAGGTGACAGCAGTCCTTTGCTTTTTGATCCTTTCAGTAGTGATTCAACAAATTCAAAAGGAAGGTTTTTAAAAGGTTTTAAGCAATTTATTTTACCTTTTGTATACATTTTTTTCACATAATAGACCCATTTAGAAATTGAATCATTTTTGTCATGCTATTTTAAGTGATGCATTATGTTGAATATATCATTTTCGATCACAAAACATAGCTTATATTTGTTTTTGTTTATTGATATATGTGTCTCATAAATATTTGCATATTTCCTGAAAAGAAGTTCCACACAGCATGTAACAGGTCTTTCTCATTAGAGAGACTATAGTCGTATATAGGAACAAGCCCACAAAACCCAGTTGAATCTCTGTTGATATATATAGGGGCCTTTCCAGACAGGCCCTATGCCCCAGAATGTGATCGCAGGTTTCCTGCTTATCCCAGATTATCTGGCAGTGTGGACTCATATAATCCAGTTTAAAGCAGAAAACCTGGTATCAGATTCTTGAATATAGGGCCTGTCTGGAAGGGCCCTAGGTTGCATCATAAGAGTTTTTAGGAGAGGAATGTGTCCCTCCCTGGCCTCATACAGCCCACCCAGCACCATTTTTGTAACCCTAGTGCCATTTTTTTTTTGTCCCTCAGACCCCTAAGGGTTAGTATTGGGTAAGCTTTGTCACATTTCCTCTCGGGACCATTTAATCCCAAGAAAAGCCTTTTTTTTCCAACAGTAAGAGGTTATATTCTAGTCCTGTTGAAAAAGAAAAATTCATCTAGGCTTAAAATAGTCCAGAGAGGACCGAGGCCCCACGTATGCTTTAAACGGGAACATATGGCATTGTGGACTCAGATAACCCAGTTCAAAGCAGATATTGTGGGATTTTCTGCCTTGATATTCTGGGATATAGGGCTATGTGAAAGGGCCCCAAGATGTCACAGATTTGTCCTCCATACTCCCTAGAATATATTAAAAAGGAGCATTTGAGATAAAATTCTTCTTTGACAGGAGTATGGGCTTCCAAGTTTCCCTGAGATCTTCCATGGCACCATAACTTCTTTTGCTCATTTAGGAGTATAGTCAACATTTCGTCTAAAATGTAGACCTTCAAATGCTATTGAACTGCATTGCTCAAGTATTCCCTATCATTGGCTATGCTAAGATACAACTGATAGGCTTTGCAGTCTGATAGGAGTTATAATGTGACCAACCTGGTCTAACTAATTGTAAAGCTATATGCTGCGTTTGCATATACATCCAAATCGAACACCATTCTGCATGTGTTTTGCAAAATCATTACTCCATTAATAATAAGAATCTTTGCTTTGCCATCTATTATTAATAGCCTGTTATACTGTCTACCAATCAGAAATTTAAAAGGCTTAACCATCTCCACAGACTCGAAAGGCAAGAGAGATGGGAAGGCAGCATTAATTGTTAATCAGGAAATAGAGCAACTCCCTTGTACATACTAGCACAGCATTTATTTACTTTGGCTGCAGACCTGTATGCACCTTGAAGTGAATCATATTGAGCTTGATATGGCTTTCAGCATAGCCACATATATAGCGTCGTTTTAGGCATTTTATCATATCTTTAAATTACATCCTGTCTAAGGAGTTTTGAAAAAGGAGAAGGTAAAATAATAATGAAACAACACTCAAACATTTACACAATACCAAATAGAGTAAAAGGTGATCTAAAAGTAGTAAAATATGATTATTTCATTGCAGAAGATTAAAAGGACACAGATTCAGTATTAATCTTCAATATATGTGTGTGCATTGATACAAAAAAATATGTACATACCTACCCTTTCAAGACTGGATTTGATTTGATAATAGCATTGAAAGACTTGCTCTTAATTATAGAAAAACCCAAGGTTGTATCATGAAAATATCTTTAAATGTAGGCTGTTCATTGTGATTCCAAAAAGGGTTTTGTTGTTGAAAAGCATCAGACTCCAAGGAAACACAAGTACTCTGGCGTATGATAGCAATTGTTGTGTCTCATTATTACAGTGGACTAAATCCAGACTTGCTTAGTCATTCTTTACTGGTAGATGTTTGTATCTCACATTTCTATGAACTAACTCAAGGTCATTAAATGAGTTAATTTCAGTGGGACATGAAGCATGACTAACGAAGTTAGAATTTTGATTCAACCTTATAGCAACCCCATTTAGCAAGTATTTCCTGGGGAACTGCTCTCAGAGGAATGGAATACTGGTTGGATTGCTTGTTTCTCCAGAATAAACCTTTATGATATGTTTTGTGATGTTTATGGCTTAGATAACGACAGTCAGAATCTTAATAGAAGCTAGAATCTGAACAATGCCACTTTTTCTGATCCAGTAAGTGGGATCTTACTTAGGGTAGATTAGAAAACCACTGAATATACTTGTTATGATCTATTATTGCTTTTCCACAAAATAGCTATTTTAATGTGGGAAGAGAATTCCTGGAATTGAACACTTTCAAAACATTGCTTCTTCATATTTATATTTTAAAGATTAAGGGCAAACATAACATGTACAATAGGAGAAAAACCTAGGGTGGGGTAAAGTTAACTAATAATAAGATGCTGACAGGGAAGTCAGCTGGTCCAGTGAAGTCATGCTACCGCTCTATTCTGCCTTGGTCAGACCACACGTGAAATCACATTGTGTCCAGTTCTGAGCACCGCAATTGAAGGGAGATGTTGACTAGCTGGAATGTGTCCAGAGAAGGGCAACTAAAATGGTCAAGAATCTGGAAAACATGCCCTATGAGGAGTGGCTTAAAGTGCTGGGCATGTTTAGCCTGCAGAAGAGAAAGCTGAGAGGAGACGTGATGGCTATATATAAATATGTGAGGAGAAGGCAGACTTGTTTTCTGCTGCCCAGGAGACAAGGATGTGAAACAATGGCTTAAAACTACAGGAAAGGAGATTCCACCTGAACATTAGGAAGAACTTCCTAACGGTGAGAACTGTTCAGCAGTGGAACTCTCTGTCCCGGAGTATGGTGGAGGCTTCTTTGGAGGTTTTTAAGAAGAGGCTGGATGGCAATCTGTCAGGGGTGATTTGAATGTGATTTTCCTGCTTCTTGGCAGGAGGTTGGACTGGATGGCCACCAAGATCTCTTCCAACTCTATGATTCTATGAATTAAGAACCTAGGATTGATAAAGTACCTTCCAGAGGTGGGAAACTGTGGCAGACGTTTAGCTGAATTTGTCAATATATGTTCATACCTGCTTTTATCCTTGGTTTGTTTTGGGTGGATTTTTAATTTTAATCACTAGTTTTATTGCATCAATTAAAAACAGCTTTGAGATTTTAAAAATGAATACTGCAGTGTAGTCATATTAATAATACTACAATATACTGTATTTTACAGTGTTTGTCTGTTATGCTTGATCACATTTATTTATTTTATTTATTCACGACATTTATATGCCGCCCTTCTCACCCCAAAGGGGACTCAAAGCGGCTTATAAGATATATATTAATACAATATATTATATTATTATCACAGTACAATATCAGTATTATATATTACTATATTGTACTATACCATTATATTGTAATATTATTAGTAATATTACATGTAATATAAAATATAAAATTATAATATCATATTATTAGTAGTAGTATTATATTGTATTACATTATAGTATTATAAATATTATATGTATATACAAAATATTATATTATATTATGTTATATTATAAGCATAGCACAGGAGACAAGGTGGAACTGTCCCCTGGCCCCCTGTCTCTTCACTCTGGCCCAGAGCAGCAGTTGGTGCTGGGGGGAGGGGCCCCCAACTGATGACATGATCACCCAACTTCCTGTTTAGCTAATGGGATCAACTTAATGACTGTAATAATGTTTAAGACTTGTCCTCAAACTATTTTGGGTATTTACAGAGCAAACATTTTACATTCTGATATTTCTCTCTAAAGAATTCACATTTATGAATCTGTCTTTACCACTTTGGTATTTAGCATTAGACTGACATTCCAGACATTTTTGTGTAAGTTCAAGGCTGGTTAGTACATTAGCTCTTTAAAAAAAACTGGGTTTGGTCTCCTTTTGGTGTGATCCAAATTTTAAGGATTACTCAGCTGATAAGTGAAATAATCATCTTCAATCTGTGATGCATCTACATGAATGAAGCAATTTCCCACCACTTTGATTGCCAACTGGTAATTGCCAACGGCAACTGGTAATTGACAACTGGAACGGAATTATGGATTACGATACTGGTTATGATTCTATGATGCGACGGAGCGGATTATTTAGTGTAATTTAGATTATTGTGTATTACTGTTGTGTTGATTTCCTGTTTTGCTCTTTTGTAAACTGTTTTTATATGTTGTACACCGCCGCGAGTCGCCCTAGGGCTGAGAGCGGCGGTCAATAAATGCAGCAAATAAATAAATAGATTAATGCAGTGGAATCCTGAGAGTTGTAGGTTTACAAGATCTTTAGCTTCCTCTGCCAGAGAGTGCTAGTACCTCACCAAACTACAAGTTTCAAGATTCAATAGCATTTTCAGAAGGCACAAAGGAGGGGAAAGGAGTTGACAAAACTGCCTACTGCTCCTCTGCCATTGAAAGTGCCCTTGAAAAAATCTGCCCTGGATAAACATATTTCATAGACAAAATGGTTTGATATGCTGGATCAAATGTTTTGACTTCATTTGTTTAGTTTTTCCTGCATCATGAAACACCGCTTAGGTGTGCTGTAATCTAATTCTTTCTTCCCTGTATTGGTATAGCATTTCATTACTACGGCTTATATAATTGCTGATATAATTAGTAATCACTTGTCCTTTAATGCCTGTTTCGGAAATATGTAGCTATTTGCCTGAGGCTATGCATTATACATGCATAGATTTCACACTGGGGCCTTTTTTGGTACTTGAAAAACTAGAAGTATCTATGGTCTTAATTAACTTTCATCTGCAGTTGTGTAAAAGGAGCTTTGATCAACACTTTTGGATAATTTTTTTATTGCCAGTAAGGATTTCAAAATAGCTCATTAAAAGTTATTACTTCTCTTTTTGTATGTAGGGATTGGTACAAACGGAATTTTACCATCACTTTTCTGATGGGACGAGTGGCATTTGTGAAAGCTTGGAAGAGGCTTTGGCTGAAAAAAGACTAAAGTAGAAAACTATCCAGTCACAGCATTGGTGATATGTGGTAAAAGAATTTCGCCTTTCCCGGTATCTGCATTACAGCCCTGTTTCTACGTTTCTTAAATATGAAGCTAGATGATACCAAATCCAATTGGGTCTTCCTCTATAAAGTCAATTGATGCTATTTCCCTTTAAAGGCTGAAAGTTGATGTTGGTCCCAGTTGGAGTATGCCTGTGACATTGGTGCAACTCATATTATTCTGTTTGTGATTAAGGATTAGCTTTAGGTGGCAGCATTCTACTAATTGCAAGCTAACATTGGGATAAGGCTGTACTTAATACAAGCTGCAGTGTGTTAATTGCCATCTTGACCTGCAAGCAGATGGTGATAGTGATGATGATTAGCAGATAGATGTGCTTATGTACCAAGTGAAGACCTCACAGTGATCTCCATCCAATAGAAAATGTCAGCAAGTTGGTGTTAACACCTTAAAACATAAAGATAAAAAGAGATACTTTATTTTTTTAGAACACACTTTTTTTACGAGTTTGGCTCATTGTGCATTGTAGTCTCACATAGCTGCCTTTCTCATACTAAACTGCTGTATCTGATGTTTTAAAGACCTTCACATTATGTACCAGGTCCTGAGATTAGGTATAATCGGCCTTCAGGGTTTTCTGTAGAAGGGCATGGACTAAGTCTTGGTATGAATTTAATATCATTATTGAAGACAAGATGGATAACATGGCATAGGAAATGCACTCATTTTCTTTCTGGGCAGAATCTGGTTACATTTTTTAACTGTATTAGGAAAACATGTATGCCAGGTATGCAGATAGTCCTCTAGATTTGAGGGTTTAACTTTAGTTGATTTTATTCTTCCCAGATTTGGTTACTCTCTAGGATTCTCTTAGTCTTCCAGTACAACTCTGTGGTCAACTTCCACCAAAAGTTGACCATAGAATTGTATTTCAAGACCTTGAGATTTCTAGAGAGAGTACCTCTAGGAATCTTTAGGACCTTTAAGCCATGGAATGTAGAGATTCCTTGTTCTCTCAAGTTAAAAAAATGGTTTTTATTTACTTTTTTCCATATTTGTGGGGGACCTATGCCCCTGACACCAGCAAATGTGAAGGGTTAACTGTATGTCAAATACTGCTGCATTATTTTTGAGTGTATCTGTATACTTTATTTATATAAAACCAAGAACTTAAGAGTGAATCTGTGTCTCCAAGTTATTTTTTCCTTGATTTTTTTAATTAAAGGTGAAACCTAATACTGCTTTGCTCTGCTAAAATTATTTTTTTCAATTTTGATTAGTATATAATGCATAAAATCTATGCATCAGAAAGCACAGAAATGCAACATATTCCAGTGTCATCCAGACTAGTTGCTAGATGAAAACATTCTACTTCAGTGAAAAAACATTGTATAGTTTCTGCTCAATCATGCCACAGGGACATTACATGCATTTTCAACAGTACGGCAGACTTCAGGGTGGTATTTTGTGGACTAAGGGTAAATTAAAAAAATTACAGAACCTGTTGATTATGAAATGAGCAAACTTCAGATGATCCAATGATTAGTCAGTACAAACTATGAATAATAATGGAAATAAACATATATGGTGTTTTCATGTAACTCTCAGTTGAGAAACTTCTCAATTACAACAGAGCAATTGTGAAAAAATCCTGCTGCTAATAAAATTGTTTATTTTAAATACATGTCTGTGTATTTTTTTCTGTTTGTGCTTAGTGCTAAATTATTTGTGCATGTTGGAACCAGAACTATTCATTTCAGAAGCTGTTTTTCAACCTGTTTTCGTTTTAATATTGTATAAATATTGTCTCAAGATTTGCATAAACAAAAATTTCAATATTGGTTTGTAAGTGTACCTTATTTTATGCAGTTCATTTGGAGTTATTTCAGTACCCCAAGTTGACATGAGAGAATTACTGACATAGTTCAGCACTTTGTACATATAGAGAATAATTTAGTCGTCAATAACTTAAAATTTTGGCAAAAGAAAATTAGCAAATGGCATAGAGATTTATAAGAAATCAAACTGGTCAAAGCATATTATTTTTTCTCCTTCAGATTTTGTACGTGAATAAACATTATTATTGACTTCAGTGTAAGTTTGAATAGACTTGTAAAGGTTAGGAACCTGGGATATTCTCTCTAATCCTGCTGAACTTTATAAACATGGTGGCTCCAGAGCTAAACTTTGGGACCAGAAAAAAGGGTTTGCAAGTCTTACAACAATGACAACATAGTAGAAATTCTTTATTTTTCCAAAGTTTTTGAAGTCCACATCTCAGTTGCTCATCTTTTGCAGTGTGGGCTTAGAGATGTTATGCTAAAACATCTGGAAGACTTGCTGTAAAATCTATAAAATCTATATAGAGGTCTTCTTTGTACATTTGCTATATGTTTTGCTTTTAGACTCTAAGACTATCAAAACACTGATATATGACCACTAGTCTGTCTGTCTATATATATATATATATATATATATATATATATATATATATATATACACACACATACACATACACACACACATACACATACACACACACACACACACACACCTGTCATTGGACAGGTGTTGGAGTGGCTGCTGCCCCTCTGCCTTCCCTTTCTCTTTCCATCCTCGTACCTTTTCTCCTTTCCTTTCTCTTCCTTCCTCCTCCCTCCCTCCTTTTCTTTTTTTCTTTCTTTCCCTTCTCCAGCCTACCTCACAATGTCTCAATGGCAACATAGCCCTTTCTTGTGGCTGTTTTCTTTCTTTCTCTCATACACATCACCTTTCTTTTCCAATGACATCATAGAGGGCTACTTCACCTAGTAACAGCCAATCCAGTGACATCACCTAGGGCCACCTCATCTAACAATGGCCTTTGTTCGGCAGACAGACAAACATACTTTTGACTGATATATATGTAATATGATATCAGTGTTATGTGTTTATAGTATATTTATTTTAATAACTATAGAGCCGGCTTTAGCACAGCAGTTTAAACACCAGCTGTAGTCAATCTTGTCAATTGAAAGGCTGCCAGTTCGAAGCTGGGTTGGGGTGAGCTCCTGGCCTTAGCCCAGCTTCTGCCCACCTAGCGGTTCGAAAGCAAAAATGTGATTAGATAAATAGGTACCACTCATTGAAAAAGCAAAGGAGGTATTCTTAGGTGTCCAGAAGGAATGCCGGTGATTGAACCCAAAAGTAGAAAGTTACAAACTACCTCTTCGGCAGGGAGATGGAGTGACAGCACCGCCCGCCCCCCTCGTAGCCGGAATCGAGCACAACACCTTCCAAGATGCCAGAAAGATGGGGAAAGCTGATATATATACCTCTTATCTATGTATAATTGTCTGTCTAGTTGTGTATAAAACGGCACTGAATGTTTGCCCATATGTGTGTTCTGTGATCCAACCTGAGTTCCCTTCAGGGTGAGAAGGGCAGAATATAAATACTGTAAATAAATAAATAAATGGACTAATTTTAGTACAACATGCAAACAACCCTGACATAATCTCACTTTTCAACACACAAACCATCCTTCTGCTCTGTCTTCATCCACATATTATTTCAATAAGTCCCCTTCCCAACACCAACTACATAAGAGTCTATGTAACATCTATTCTCCATTCAATCAATCTACATTTGAAGCTAACCAAATTGGCATCCAAATATACTCTGCCTATTTGCACTAAAAGTTCTCATTCGTATCTGGAAGATGTCTCTTTCTCTGGAAAAGTGGTGGAGTATTTCCCAAGGGCAGCATTATGGGAGGAGAGCTGATATACTTCATTCCGTAGTAAATATACACTAGTAATAGCGTAGCAACTAGATGTGTACTGTTGAATGCTGTCCTTCAGATCTCACCTATTCCTTTTCTTTTGTGCTAAAATTTACTTTAGATTCATGAACATTAGGATGGTTTTACGCCTCACCACCTGATTATACTGTCTGTGCTTAACAGCATTCTTAAACCCCCAGTTTGGAAATTAGCTTTTAAATCTATTTTATTGGATTGTGAAGAGATTGGGTGTATATTGACTGCTTATATATTTTGTGCATAAGTGCACCTTATTACGCAGTACCACCTAATACCTATTTTAAAGTTTTGCATTAAATAATTTAGTGTATGACTTTTTGAATCAAAACGTGTAGGGGAAATGTCATAAAAACATTCCTAATAGTAATCCTTATGATGTATAAAATAATTCTTTTCTGTGAAGTTAAAAAAACCCACATTTTTTTGCCTTCAGTATTATCATCAATATAGCCCACTTTTAAATCAATGGCTTCTGCATCATAATTGCTGCTTATGAATCATACATCAAAGTGTTCAGAGGCATGACCTTCCCTCTGGATTTTTCACATAATTTTGCACCTGCTTCTAAACTGCAATAGTCTGCTTGTCTAAACTAAATGAGGACCGCAACACTGGTATCGACTATCTACAGGAATAACAAAAAGTACACATTTGCTTCTTTGTAGCATTTTAAAATACATCGGTTCAAAGTAAGACTACATAATTATCTCTCCAGGGAATTTCAATTAGAATGTAAGGGTTTTTTGAGGTTATAATGAAACTTTTTTGGTAAGGCCCAGAATGTTTGTACTTCTATGTTTTGGTTATAATTGCAAGTTTAGTGTTCTTTATTCAAAATTCTAAATAAGCTGAAATTGTCCGCATGGGTAGCTGAGATAATTCAGTTAACAAAAAAATTGTTTCATGCACAAAATTATAAAAAAAATCTATATACATAAAAGATAAAGTATGTACTGTATGTACAAATGTATATACGTTTGTTGGTTTATTTATCGAACACAGCTTGATGGGCTTGATGGATTTCGAACAAACATGGCACACATAACTTTCATTATCCAACTTTTTATTTATTTTGTGTCAAAATCATTGCATAAATAGGTATAAAACTGATAAGTAGAGGGAGCACAAGTGGCTAAATTTTATACCAAAAACGGGCAACAATGAGCACATTGTAGCTTTAAATGGTCCTCTGTGCATGAGGCAGGGCTCTATGGGCAAGCATACAGATTTGTTCGTTCTGCTCCACAATCACACAAGGTGGAGGATTCTTATAGGTAGTGCCATTTTGCCAGGTTGTCTTTTGATCTGCCCATTCCACTTCTGAGTCTGTTCAGGGACTTCCACGTTGCCCATTATCCAACTTAAAATAATTAAGTTTGGACTAAAAAAAACCCCACACTTTTGGGCTTAGAGCTAAGGGAAAGAAAAGGAACAAAGAAGATTATTATTATTATTATTATTAACTTTATTTGTACCCCGCTAGCATCTCCCGAAGGACTCGATGCGGCTTACACAGGCCGAAGCCTCAAAACACAATACAATAGAAAACATAACACAACAATAA